CAAAATTTTTTGGAAATATTATAAAGAGAAATACAGAAAAAAAATATGTATTCCAGAAAGTTTTCACTGCACACTCTTTTGTTATCTCTTCTCTGTCCTCTGATACACAAATATTTAAATATAGCGTGTATTTTCCGTTGAAAAAAGTAAATTTCCTTTTTAGATAATCATAATTATTATAGATATATACATGTACCAATTCATTATGTTGTGCACCTTAAACTTGTACACTGTTACATGTCAATTATATCTCAATAAAGCTGGGAAAACTAGAAAGAATTGCATACTGGGGGGGATTTTTTTGTTTGTTTTTTCATTTTGCTCTCTTATGTAAATATAATCACAATTCGATTATCAGTAGGTACATAGATATTTAGTATTTTAACCAGGCCTATTTCCTTCTTGTAGAGACATTGGAGTAATGGTTAAACTATATCCAAATATGACTCCAGTACTACTTCATAACTCACAACTTGATCAACGAAAGGTAAAAAAAAAAAGAAAAAGAATTTTAAGACATTTGCTTTTTAAAACTGCCTTAAAATAAGTATAGTAAAATTTCCTAGATTGATGAGAACTGTATACTTTTTCCACTACTCGCCTAATATAAAAAACCAAGAATGATAAAGACACTGCTGAAAAAAGGTTTTATATTACTTACCACAGATAATTTGACTATTTTTCCATGATGAAATAGAAACACCCTTGAATGTTTTGAGGTGGAATGACACCTACAGTTAACACTTAGCAGTTACTTAAAATACTTAAAACCCTGTTCTCCCAATTTTCTTGAACAACCGATTTTGGCAAGATAATTCTTAGGATGTTTTTAAATTTAATCTTTGTTATAGTTCATAGGCATAATATGAACTATATGAAGTATTCAAGAAAATTATGGAGGCATAGAAATAATAAGATGTCTCTTTTACCATATATTAAAATATAAAGCTATAGAGAAAAAAAAGTGTGTTACTGGCCCAGAAATAGGCAATCCATGAAACACAAGAAAAAAAAGACAAGATATAAACCCAGTTATATACATTGGACTGTAATACATGCTAAACATAAACATTGTATTTTCAGGCAGGGAAGAATTGAAAATTATTCAATAAATCATATTGATACAGCTAGTTATCGTGAAGCAGATTCTCTACTTTTATACCAAAATCCCATGTAGATCAAGAAGCTAAATGTGTAAAAATAAATAAATAGATAAAAATAAGGCCATAAAAGGAGAGAAAGAAAACTGAGGCATGGGAGACTGTTGAGGGAGGACTAGAATATTTTAATAATTTGGGACTGGGTAACTGTTTCTCAGCATAGCAAATTCAGAAATGTAAATAAGTTGGTAAAATTGGACCTCATGATTTTTTTTTAACTATAAGTCTAAAATTACAATATGGTTGAAAGACAAGCAACAATGTAAAGAAAAAGTGCTTGTAACATGAAGAGTTTCATATTTACAAAGGGCTGTGTAGATCAGTAAGAAATGTGACTATCAATAGGAAAATGAGCAAAGAACATGGACAGGCATCATTTTTTTAAAGCCAACCAACATACTCTTTTTTGAAAAATTATATTTTATTGATTACGCTGTTACAGTTGTCCCAATTTCCCCTCTTCCCCCCAGCACCTCCCACTCCCTCAGGCAATCCCCATACCTTTGTTCATGTCCATGGGTCATGTGTACATGTTCTTTAGCTACTCCATTTCCTATACTGTACTTTACATCTCCATAGCTATTCTGTGACTACAAATTGTACTTCTTAATCCCCTCACCTCTTCATCCATTCCCTTAACCCTCCCCCCACCAACCATCTGGCATCCATCAAAAAGCTCTCCGCATCCATGATTCTCTCTCTGTTCATCTTGTTTGCCTAGTTTGTTTTTTTTTTAATTCAGTTGTTGATACGTTTTTTGCCATTTTATTGTGCATAGTTTTGATCTTTTTCTTAAATAAGTCTCCTTAACATTTCATACACTGATTTGGTGATGATAAACTCCCTTAGTTTTTTTCCTTATCTAGGAAGCTCTTTATCTGCCCTTCAATTCTAAATGATACCTTTGCTTGCTAGAGCAATCTTGTGTGTAGGTCCCTGCTGCTCATACCTGAATTTGTCAATCCCTCCCAGCCAGCAAAGTGTTTTGGAGAAATCAGTTGACAGTATTATGGGGACTCATGTTTGGGAAATTAACTGCTTTTCTCTTTCTGCTTTTAAGATTCTCTCTTGCCCTGACTGGTGTGGCTCAGTGAATTGAGCACCAGCCTGTGAACCAAAAGGTTGCCAGTTCAATTCCTGGTTGGAGAACATGCCTGGGTTGTGGGCCAGGCCCCCAGCTGGGGGCATGTGAGAGGCAGCCAATCAATGTTTCTCTCCTGTCTTTCTTCTTCCCTTCCCTTCTCTCCAAAAATAAAATCTAAAAAAAAAAGAAAATTCTCTCTTCATCTTTAACTTCTGGCACTTTAGATTTTATTTATTTTTAGAGAGGGGGAAGGGAGGGAGGAAGAAAGGGTGAGAAGTACAAGTGTATTTGACCGATTGCCTCTCACACACCCTGAGTGGGGACCTGGCCCACAACCTAGGCATGTGCCCTGACTGGGAATTGAACCTGCAGCCTCTCAGTTCTCAGGCTGGCACTCAGTCCACTGAGCCACACCAGCCAAGGCCTTTGGCACTCTAATTATGATGTGTCTTGGTGTGAACCTGTTTGTATCCGTCTTATTTGGGACTCACTGTGCTTACTAGATTGGCATGCCTGTTTCCTTCACCAAATTAGGGAAGATTTCTTTCATTATTTTTTCAAACAGATTTCCAGTTTCTTGCTCTTTTTCTTCTCCTCTGGCACCCCTATGATATGAGTGTTGGTATGCTTGAAGTTGTCCGAGAGGCTCCTTACACTATCCTTGTTTTTTAAAATTCTTTTTTCTTCTTATTGTTCTGATATGTTGTTCGTTGTTACCTTCTGCTCCATATCATTGATTTGATTCTTGGCTTCCTCCACTCTACTCTTGATTCCCTGTAAATTATCCTTTATTACCATTAGTGTATCCTTCATTTCTACTTGGATCTTTTTTACGTTGCTAAAGTCCTCACTAAGTTCCTTGAGCATCCTCTAACCAGTGTTTTGAATTCTGTATCTGATAATTGCTCACCTCAATTTCATTTAGTTCTGTTTCTGGAGGTTTGATCTGTTCTTTAATCTGGGCCATGTTTCTTTGTCTCCTCATTTTGGCAGCCTCCCTATGTTTTTTCTATATATTAGGTAGAGCTGTTATAACTCCCTGCCTTGATAATGTGGTCTAATGTAGGGGGTGTGCTATAGGTCCTATGGCACAGCCTCCCCTTTCACCCAAGCAGGATGCGCAAGTTTCATTCTCCATGTGGGCTGAGTACACCCTCTTGTAGTTGAGCCTTGAATTCTGTTGGCAGGACAATGGGAGGATTTACCCAGACCAGTCAGTTGCAAAGACTGGCTGTGACCACTGACCTCCAACCTCTGTCCTCTGTAGAGATTCAGCTGTGCAGGGGCATGGTGGTGGTGTTCTGACGTGGTCTGTAGCTGTCCACTGAGTGCACAAGCTCTGGCATTTCCCAGGTTGTGTAGGACAGGGTCAGCCACCACCTGTGTTCTGCCTGGAGCCACCTAGCATGTGCTACCAAGCAATTTGCAGGTGCCTGCTACTTGTGCTGGGCCTGGGACCACTTAGCCAGATGTACAGGGGCTGTGGGCTGTCTGACTAGCTATTATTGCTTGTTTGAGAGGATTTAGTAAGATGTGAAGTCAAAGCCCAGACCAGCCATTCATATAGAAGTGCCACTGTTAACTTGGGTGGACTCAAAAATTGGGTGTGGCAGAGCCATCCATGTGGTCTCATATGACCCCTGACTGCTGGTTCTGTGGCTCTTTCGGGGGAGGGCTTAGAAAAGGAACAGTGGCCTCTGCTCACCTTTCTGCCTGGGAGAAAGCTGTCCCCCAAATCTTGTCCTGTTCCGGACACTTCAGTTCCTCCCTGTATGCCATTGATGCCTTTCAAGCTGCTACCCCAGTGCTAGAGCTCAGAGGGAGTAAGTCAAAGTTCACGTATGGGTGGGCCCTTTATGAGGAACTGCTTGGGATTCCAGTAGTTCCTTTTCCAACTCAAACCCTGCTGATTTTTATACTTATGGGGACCTATCTTCCTGGCACTTGAACCCCGGGCTGGGGGACCTGGTATGGGACTGACATTCCTTGCTCCCATGACATCCTTCCTCAATTTTTATCCACCATACGTGAGTGCGTGTCCATACCATTTCTTTAGTTCCATAGTTGTTGGACTTCCATTCAACCCGATTTCTGACATTTCTGAGCGACGGTTGTTCTATATAGTTTAGTTGTAATTTTGACGTTTGTGCAAGGAGGCAAGCTGTATTTGCCTACACCTCGATCTTGACTAGAAGCCAGATGAATATCCCAACCATCATATTCAATATCTACAGTTTTTCAATTTTCAGATAGTTCAAAATTCCCTATGTGTCTAAGAAAGTAGGTAAGAAATAGACATTCTCACACACTATCGATAGAAATGTAAATTGGGCATACTTTTTGGCAAGTATTTGGTAAATGTGTCCAGGTACCATTAGACTTAGGAGTTCCACATAGGTCTTTTTTCTGAGAGGATAGAGTAGATGAATACATAATCATTGCAACACTGCAATTTATTTTTTTCTCAACTTTTTATTTTGAAAAATACTCTGAACACCCATATACTCCACCTGTATTCACCAATTACTAACATTTGCAGCACTGTAATTTAAAACAAATTAAATGACTATATATAGGGGGTTGATTGTACAAATTATATTATTTGAATACTCAACTGTAATTTTTCATTTATTGATGCGAAATTTCAACATACTGAGAATGAATTTTGTTCAACATATTGAACAAAACAACAAACTCAGAAAGGCCCAGTTTTACAAATGCAAGCAGACTAAATAGGGAGACATTTAAAGAGATGCTTATTGGCATGTTAATAATAGTTTATTATAAGTAGAAAGGTTATTTTAAGTCTTTATAATTACAATTTTATAATCAGAAAAACCAATAAAGCTATTTTCCACTTGGGAAAAAAATATATTCTACCATAGATACTAAGTAATTATGCATGATAACTAATAGAGTCAACATGTTCTCTTTCAGATTCAACATCCCACTGCCCTAGGATTAGAAGTTGGCCAAAAAATTCAGGTACTTGTTTTCAACCTTTTAGCCTTAAAGTTGTAAATTATACTTGAATTTTCAATTATTTCCAAAAGCTAAATCAGTGAAATCAATATTTGTGGTTTATATTATTTTTATGCTGTGCTGCTGCTTTAATCTTAGGGTAGCTTAAACATTAAGGATTTAAGACAATTCTTTCCCTCAAGGACTTTCCAGTTTAGTTAGAATAATAGTTCCCCTCAGAGCTTTTAAAAATACATGAGCAGGTCAGTAATGGCTATGCAGAGTCAGAGACTGGGAGACAGGACATGAGAACCCTGATACATGTAACTTTGTTGGAAGGTCTTGAATGTCATATTTAAGGAGTTGAGACTCTTAACTGCCTTCACTCTGCTTGAGGCTAAAAGTTTTTGAGTTTCATAAAAGCCGTGCTGTTCAGTTCTAGAACTGATAACAAAATTGACCTTTTATAGTATTTATGAGTAGGTGAAAGAACTTTTTGCTGGCATGGGTGTTTTTTTGGCCATATCACATTCTGTTGCAATTATGCCTAATACCTAAGATCTGAGTAGCTATGGCTTCTACTTTATTCCCAGTCTGTAGTATCATTGTTTAAGTAGTCTCTAAGAGGAAAGGTGAGAACTAAGACATAATATCTCTGTACAAGAGTGGTTTTTGTTTTGGTTTAACATCATAAGGGGCTTAAAAATTGCCACATTTCCCCCTTTCATTGTCTAAGGTCAAGCCAAATAACTTCCAGTGAGGTAGTCCTTTGAGCAGTAGTTTGAGTGACCCAAGTGGTAATCCTCTAGTTTATAGCACAATTAGGCTCAGAAAGCTGTAGTCTATAATTATTCACTGTAACTTTCACTGTTCTTTTGGTATAGGGACCAGCCCTGGAGAGAATAAGAAGGCAGTGTCTCTTCCTTTATTATTATAATCACTTAACCAAATTATATACAGGGTCCGGCACAAATAACGCCCCTGTTTTATGCACTGGTAATCGATACCAAATCTTGTATTACAAAATCTTAAGTATGTGATTCTGTAACATAACAATATCACACTCAAGCACACCATACAACATTTTAGGTGAAATGTTCAAATTGCTATCCCTCTCGAGTGAGACATTCACATACCCTATCAACGACACTCAAGCAAGCCTTATGACATAATTTGAGAGTAATGTCAGCAAATTTGTCCCAGATTCTGTCTTTCAGTTCATCAGTGTTGCAGGGTTCAGTCTTGTACACATATCTTTAAGGGACGCCCCACAAAAAGAAGTCAGGCAGAGTTAGGTCTGGGGATTGAGCTGGCCATTCCAGTGGCCCTCATTGCCCTGTCCATCTCCCTTCAAAATGCATGCCCAACCATTCTCTGACACACAACACATAATGTGGTACACCGTCCTGCTGGAAATAAACTCCAGTCTTGTTCAACTCTAGGCCACAATTCTTGTCTGTAGGACACGTAGGTAATTATTCTCACTGGTAGTACCATCAAAGAACACTGGCCAAATTATACCCATGACTGATACCGTTGCCCAGACTGTTACCCCTGATAAGTTTATGTCTTTCTCGAAGATAATGTGTGGATTCACATTGCTCTAATACACATTATTATGGTTATTGATACGGCCGATCAATTTGAACATAGCTTCATCTGACCACCCCGTTACCTTAGTTGGTATGTTCTCATCCTTATGTAATTTGGCCAAAAATCTTTCCACAAAATTCTGCCTTTCTGTCTGAATCTCTTAGCATGTAAGGAGTAGCAAACACAGTATGTGTGGCTTTATTTTCATTTTGTCCAATAACCTTCAAACACTTCTGTCATTAATACCGAGTTCCCCTGACAGACACCCACTGGATTTTTGAGGGCTTCATAACGATGCCCATAATTCGGCAGCCTTTCCTTCTGTCATTGCTGAAACTCATTTTCCTTGTCTTTTGGCATCATACACACTGCCAGTTGCTTCAAACTTTGTGATCAGACTTGTGACATTTACCACTCTGTACAAGTCAAATGCCAAATTCTTCACGTAACAAACAAGTGGTTGCTGCTCCACAGCACTGGTTTTGATAGTACAGCTTCACTGCTCTCACTCACTGTTCCTTGTCAGTCGACAGGCAGTTTTACTTCAGGTAACCTGGAACACAAAGGTTACTAAGATTACTAATACAACATGTCCATTTATACTATACTGTACTACTTTAAAAAGGGCATTACCTCTGCCAGATCTTGTATATTAGCATACACCCTTGCTTTGCACTGAGCTGTTTTTTCAGTGAACAAGCAAAAACATTAATTAGTGCCTTATTTTTACCAGGTAAATTTAAATATCTTTTAACTTCAATGTCAATCAATGAGCAATAACTTTAAATTTCTTTAACACAGGTGAAATACTTTGGACGTGATCCAGCTGATGGAAGAATGAGGCTTTCTCGCAAAGTGCTCCAGTCTCCAGCTACAACTGTTGTCAAAACTCTAAATGACAGAAGCAGTATTGTAATGGGAGAATCTGTTTCACAGTCATCATCTAATTCTTCCCCCTGATGTATTTTTTAAGGAGAATTAACTCTAGAGTGATAATATGTAAAATAAAATGTCAGTAGTATCTTGTAATGTATAGATTTATATATGCTATAAATGCATTATGATTTATATTAAAATGCTCATTTTACATGTGCCATTTTTTATTTCAAGAGTTAACTGTTTCCCTTATTTACATTACAAATCAAATATTTATTAAAAGTAAACCATTTATACATCCTGGAAAAGATTACTACCGTTTATTTCCTATAATTCTGAAATATCTGAAAACTTAGAAATAATAGATCACATTATGATTATAATGGACCTCTTCCCACATACTTACTCTTGGTCATCTTATGGCTTAACCTCTTTGCCCAACTTTACTTGCCTACAACTATTTCACAGACTGGAACTTGGCATAATCAAAGCCAATGCCTATTTCTTTCATCCAGTTACCAGATACAGTAAGGAGTTGAGGAAGCTTGTTTGATCTGTTTTTAATGATATTCTGCCTTTCAAATTGGTCACAAAACTATAAACATAATGGAGCTAATACTAGAAATGGATCCTAACTAGAATGAGGTAGTATGCTTTTCAAATTTAGAAAATATACAAAAAGCACTGACTCACCAAATAGATTAGGGTCATACTTTGATTTTATAAGAAGTGGAGGAATCATGATTTTCAGTTAATGCTTGAAACAGTCATATATAGAGGCTGTTGATATAATTATTAGTAACAGCTCTTCATTCCCATCATTGAATACATCACATAATTCCCAAAGTAAATGGCTCACAGAAGCCATAATTATGTAAAATTTTTATAAATCTTATTTGTAAATTCAGGATTCAGAGCTAACTAGTTTGTAAAATATTAAAAACTTAAATGCCAAAAATTTTTTTAAATGTACTTAAGTCAGAAGACATTGATTATATATTTATAGTGTGTAAAATAGCATTAGTATTGATGTACTTTATGAAATATTAACTGAAAAATGAAAGATTACATTTAAACTACATGCTGTGTACATTGATCTTTTTTCTAATTTTTATTGTTTTCTGCTTAAGACATCCTTAATGATAGAATTTCAAAATCATAATTTGTTTTGTAACTTTCCTATTTTCTTCTTCAGAGCAACTCCCAAATGCTAATAATATGGAAAAATTAAGCTAGTTTTTTTTTCAGTATGTCTTATGCTATTAGTTTTCCCAATTTCCCCCTTTGCCCCCCTCTAAACGGTACCCCCATTCCCTCCAGCATTCCCTGCCGCCTTAGTTCATGTCCAAAGGCTATGTAAGTTCGTTCTTTGGCTACTCCATTTCCTATATTGTTCTTAACATCCCCCTACTTTGTACCTACCAGTTTGTGCTTCTTAATCCCTTCACCTTTTCCCTCATACTCCTCTTTCCCTCTAGCACCTGACAACTCTGCAACTGATCTTCATATCTATGATTCTGTTCCTGTTGTGGTTGTCTCCTTAGTTTTTTTAGATTCAGCTGCTGATAGTTGTGAATTTGTTGCCATTTTAATGTTCAGAGTTTTGATCTTTGTCTTAAATAAGTCCCTTTAACATTTCATGTAATAATGGCTTGGCAATGATGAACTCCTTTAGCTTTACCTGGCCTGGGAAACACTTTATCTGCCCTTTTATTCTAAATGATAGTTTTGCTGGATAGAATAATCTAAGCTGTAGGTCCTTGCATTTTGTCACTTTGAATACTTCTTGCCAGTTCCTTCTTGCCTGCAAAATTTCTTTTTGAGAAATCAGCCAACAGTCTTATGGGAACTCCTTTGTAAGTAACTCTCCTTTTCTCTTGCTGCTTTTAAGATTCTTTATCTTTAACCTTTGGCATTTTAATTATGATGTGTCTTGGTGTGGTCCTCTTTGGGTCTAGTGCTTCCCAGACTTGTATGTTTATTTCCTTTGCCAAATTAGATAAGTTGTCCATTATTTTTTCAAATAAATTTTCAATTTCTTGCTCTTCCTCTTCTCCTTCTGGCATCCCTATGATTTCTTGTTAAGTTTAAAGATGTCCCAGAGGCTCGTAAGCCTATCCTCATTTTTTTAAATTCTTTTTTCTCGTTGCTGTTATGATTTAATGTTTTTTTCTTCCTTGTGTTCCAAATCGTTGATTTGAGTCTCAGCTTCATCCCCTCCACTGTTGGTTCCCTATAGATTTTTCTTTATTTCACTTCCTGTAACCTTCATTTTTGCCGGGGTCTTTTTTATGCAGTTGAGAGTACCCCGTGAGTTCCTGGAGCATCCTGATAACCAGTATTTTGAATTCTACATTTGATATATTGCTTATCTCCATTTTGTTTAGTTATTTTTCTGGAGTTTTGTTCTGTTCTCTCGTTTGGGCCATGTTCCTTTGTCGCCTCATTTTGGCAGCCTCCGTGTATGTGTTTCTCTGTAGCAGGTAGAGCTGCTTTGACTTCCTGTCTTAGTGGCAAGGCCTAATGTAGCAAAGCACACCTGTAAAAACTGTATGGGGCAGAGCCTTAGGTAATTACCAGGGTGGGGCAACCTGTGGCACCACTCTGTGACACTGTGTTGGGGAAAAGTTCAGAGAGGGGACGATGCTGCTGCCTGGGCTCTGGAGTTTTGCCCAAGAGGAAGTTTTCTCCCTGCACTCAGCCTGCTGCCAGTCCCTTCACTTTCTCTCCTATGCTTCTGGTGCCCTTCCAGCCTGTTGCCTTGGTGCTGAATCCCACAGTGTGGGGTGGGTCTGTGTGAGTTCTAAGTGCACTGGGGGCCCTAAGAGTCTCTTGAGAATCCTGCCATTTTTTTTTCTGCTGCCCCAGTCCCCATTGGTTTTTATAGCCAGAAGTTACATGGACCTATCTTCCTGGCACTGGAACCCTGGGCTGGGTGGTCTGGTCTAGGGCTGTGATCCCTCACTCCTGAGGTATCCCTCCTAGTTTTTATCCACCACATGTGAATGTGGTACTGCCCATTCTCTGGTCCTCTCCATGCTTCTTGCCTCTCCACCTCTCTGCACATCTCTGGGTCTTCACCCCTTCTACCCATCTGGATAGATGTGACTTCTTTAAATCCTTTGTTGTTGGACTTCCATACAGCTTGATTTTCTGACAATTCTGGGTGATATTTTTTTGAAGTCTACTTGTAATTTTTGCTATATTTGTGCACAGAGGCATGCCATGTTTACCTATGCCTCCATCTTGACCTGAAGCCACAATACTGTTTAGCTCACTAATCAAGAGTCCACCAAAACAATCCTATTTCCACTAAAACCAAGAGCCTACACGAATGTCTGAACTTCTTTTTGTCTTCATTCAAATCTTGTTAGTTTTCCCTATTTTCTAATAAAGTTTTTCTATGAGGGCTATTACATTCTAAAAACTAATTTATAATGACTCAAATCAAATAGAATGCCCCCTTTGGTAGTGCAATATTGGTACTTACAAGATGTTTTTCTTCATATTCTTTGTTATTGACACTGCCCTGCCCATAAATCACAGTTTTTATATAATCATTTTTCTTTCTCTTATAGATCATCTTGAATTTCTGGATCTAAAATAGTAGTATGAATATCATTATCTTAGTTCAGTTCAGTAAATCACAGAACCCATTTATTCAACACTTACCATGTGCCAGGCACTACAATGTGTGCAAGAGATGGGTCAGTAAACAAAACCTAAGTTCCAATGTTCACATTACTAGTGAGTGGAAACTGACAGTAAATAATGTATATATTGTAAAATGTCAGGTAGTTTTATAGGAGCTTCACAGAGCCTTATTTCCTGCAGTGTGGAAACAGAAATGGAATTTGACAGTTACAGAACTCTAAAGATAGTTGAATGCTCAGCCTAAGGGAGTCTGCTATGCAGTTAAGGCCTTGGTTTGGAAAGCCTGAATTTTTGAAATGCAATAGGTGCTCCTGAGGATTTGAGCTCTGTAGACTCCCTGGACCCTCAGGGCTTGCAGATGTGGCTCATACCTCCTAGTAAGTGGTGACATTCCCCACCCCCGCACATGCCGTATCCCACCTCCTTGCAGAAGGATCTCTTCCATAGTTGCTCCTATTTCTGATAGTTTTTTTAGTTTTTAAAAATAAAAAATTTTAAGGGGATAGAGTGATAAACAAAAGGTACAATTTTAGGTAAGAGTAATCCAGAATCACCTGAGTAGGTAACATCTGAGCAGACACTGGAACACAGTGGAGGAAGACGTGCAGCTATTTGGGAAAGAGAATTCCAGATACCGGGACTACATTTTCACCTGTTATTTTAAATTTATAATATAAAGCAGGCTTTCATTTTACACATCTATTTCACATAGTATTTTACTCCTTAATCTTGTGCCTGTTCTTCACCAGAAGTAGAAAGTAAATTTTATTTAAAAATATAAAACAAGAGTTGGCCAGTGCAAGGTGTTATTTTCAAAGCACTTAATCAGGCAGGAATATACTTGGTTACTTGCAAGAAGGTAGACACCAAGATCATGTGAAAGTTTAACAGGCTTACACAAATTTCCAGGCTCATAAGAGTTGAGACTAAGGTGAAAATGGAAGAGAATAGGCCTTGGTATCAAGAGATAGAAGCCAACTAAGTTCAGCTAAAGTGAAGGGGAAATTTTTTCACCGGGTTGAGTGTCAGCATAATCTGCCAGAGATTTAATTGGCCTAATAAGAGAGGAAAGAGATTATACACTGAAGGAATTCAAATAATAAACTAGCATATAGTAGCAGGATCCATAGGATTACATTTGGGATTAGGTTTTTGGGGTGCTTGATCAAGAGGGCTGGACAATAAGACTGGGTAATCAAGATTTCACTATTTGGGATACTTTTGGGACAGACAGTTACCACTTTGTTTACCCTGTCCTCCTAGCCTTGAATACCTTTGCAAGCCAGTTTGCCACTCAGGGATCCTCTAACATCAGGCTCAAAACTATCTGTGCAAAGATTTCTCTGACCCAAGACAGCAACCTAATTTTCTCCAGGCTCAGAATGCATTTTTTCCACATCAATCATAGCAATTGAGGTCTATTGTCATGCATAACTTCTTAACGCAAGTAGAATTTCTGAGGTCCTCTGTAAGTTAAAAAAGAAATCCTGCACATCTCGATTTCAAAATTAGAATTGGCTTTTTAACAGGTGCCTGCTCTATGTAAAACGTTTCTATTTTTAGGGTACCGCTAAATGGTGTCCACACAGAAGAGCTGGTCAAAACAAAAGCACGTTTTGACAAGACCATTAAGTAGTACCTACGATTCCCAAGATGCCCTGCTGGTCAACCTGTGCATCTCTCCAGTTTTTCCCCTTTCAAGCTAATGGGTTGAAACGAATTAGCGACTAAACAATCTGTGATCCTCTTAAAGAATAAGTAAAAGGATTTTACCAAGAACGAACGGGGATTAAAATAAACGACTGCCCAGTGCCTGATGTGTATCCACCATACAATGTTTGACAACTAACGTCAATGCCTAGAGTATTCCTCCGCTTATTCAGTGCAAAAGACCTCGCGATCGATAATGCAGCAACAAATACCCACAAGAGAAACTAAAAAATGTCAAAACAATGCTCCTGGATTTGTTAGGTAGCTCCCCACAAGTTCCCTAAACTTCCCTGAAAACTTATTTTCCGAGGTAACAACCACAATAAGGGCACTGTATTTTCGTGAAGTGTAAAGTATACTATTCAATGGCCAACTACCACAACCTAAGAATGAAACGCTTTAGCGGGAAATAGGAAAGTATCAACACGCTTAACTGTACAGACCCCCAAACAGATTTTAGTGGTTTTCGGGTAGCCTTAAAGGAAGTTTAAACTATTTTTCTCCCATAGGCTGACAAAATGAGCTCCCACTAAAGAATGCAACACATCTTCCTTTTTGCTCAAGGTTAGTCCCGTCCAAAGATTCGTACCTCCCAGGTTGCTCTGCTGTTTCTCAGAGATGGGTCCTAAGCCTCTTCACACGCCTCGTTGCACCCAGCAACCAGACGGAGCGAGATTCACAACTCAGTTCTCGTTGCCTCTTCCGAAAGGTCTCGCGTCTCCAGTAAAGACTGGAGATCGCGATAACCACTCATTCTGCCGAGAATTCGCGCTAGCAGGAGTGGCCGAGAGAGGAAGAACTCGCATTTAGACCCTCCCACCTCAGTTCAGCACCTCGCCTCGCGAGAACGCTGAGTACTACTGGCCTGGAAAGCGCGAGCAGAAGCTGAGGTACCGTGAGTTGGCCTCATCGGCCGCCGTAGCCCCTGCTAGTACAGCCCGTGCAAACCTGCTGGAGGAGGAAGAGAAAGGCAGAGAGAATCGGGTTACAAGATGGCGGATGTGTAGTAGTTACGGCGGCGGCGGCGGCGGCGGGAGAGCAAGAGAGCTCTGGGGGGGCAAAGGAAGGGGAGGGTGGGTTTGTGGGGGGGGTGAAGTGAGAGATAACAGGAACTCTAGCCGTAGAGGTCTCAGTGGCTCTTGTTGCCCCTTCCCGCGGCTGAACCTTGGGAGCCATGGTGAACTTGGGCCTCTCCGGAGCCGCCGCTGCCGCCGCCGACGTTGCTACCGTCTCTCAAGAGTGAGAGGCGCGGACGAGGTGAACGTGGAGGCGGCGGCCGGAGCGGTGGGGACGGCGGCCACAATGTCGGATACACGGCGGCGAGTAAAGGTCTATACTCTGAATGAAGACCGGCAATGGGACGACCGAGGCACCGGGCACGTCTCTTCCACTTATGTGGAGGAGCTCAAGGGGATGTCGCTGCTGGTTCGGGCAGAGTCCGACGGTAAGGTTATTGAAACGGTAGGACAGGGGTACTGTGCTTCCAGGTTGGGTAGAGCCGTGGGGTTTAGGTCGTAGGCGGGGTACGGTTACTACCACCGCTTGGTAGAACGCGTTGGTTTTGTTCCTGCACTTCTGTACGGCAAAAACAAACTACGCTTTGTCCGCATTTACCCTCAGTCGGTCACCGACTCTGTTCCCCCGCCTCCTACTTCTGTTAAGGATTTGACCCCTTCCTCTCCAGTCTTTTTTTTTTTTTTTTTTTTTTTGGAAGAGGGAAGAGTGTGAAAAAGAAGGGAGGAAGCTCAGGAGAGACAAGGTATTGATCTGTACTCGGTTTAGGGTGCCGACCCGCCCTTCTCTTTTTATTTTACCAATTACGTGTGTGGTGTGCAAGGTTTAGTGAAACTTTTTTTCCTGAGTCTTTTTATTTTTTAACCGATTTTACCAAAGAGCCCCAGTTGCCATAGTCGACAGGTGCTCCGGAAAACCAAAAAGCACCTTTTAAAGCCCGGGGTTACTACAGACTGTTGCCACAATACATGAACGCACAAGCACAAGCACATATGTCTTTGGTCTGGGATTCCTCCAGGCTGCCTTTGTGGGGGTGCTGTGGATTCTTTACAACCTAAACAAGTTAGGGCACCGAAGCAGAGAGCTAACTTGTATTCGTTGATTTATTGTACAAGTTATATGCGAAATGTTTTTAAATTTTCAAATGTAGAACCTTAATTAAAACACCGTTCTCGTTGTAATCTGAAACTGTGTACAGATAATGGAAAAATAACTGTCTTGGATTTATTCTTGAAGTGTTTTGTACTCTTGTACTTTCTCTTTTAAGTAGTCTTGGACATTTATTTTTACATGCAGTGGCCTTCCTTTTGTTATTAAGGAGAAAAGGATAAATGCAATTCTGTAATTTGTGTACTTAGATCCCTATTGTGATCCTTTGTAATGTGCTTTATTTGTTAAACTGGAAAAGCAATAAAATAACTGTTAAAAAGAGTTTGGCTTCAAGTGGTCATTTAGACCTTAAAATTTCATTTCAATAAAACTTTAATAGTCATCAAGCCTCTCTATGTTCTTGGTCTGAATGTTTGTCTTACAGGGATTTTTTTTCCCCCCCCTTCAAGGGCTTCTGGGGATAGGATGATAGGTTCTACATTAAATGTGAATTAGAGTCCATGTGATTAGTTCAGGTGTCTAGCTGGGTAAGAGAACATGAAGTATTTTGGGGGTCGTTTTGTTTTTTTTAAATGTGAACTGTGATTTTTTTTTTTTTTTTATTCAGGGCTTTATAAATGGAAACTTATAAATGCTATTTTTTATCTTTCAGGATCACTACTCTTGGAATCAAAGATAAATCCAAACACTGCATATCAGAAACAACAGGCAAGTAGTTGTTTATCTTTAATTTGAAAGACTTCATCTGTGATCAAGGAAGTATTAATCTGACAAAGATGGGAAAGCTTTCCTGACAAGAAAAACATGTTTGGTAAACAAAGTTACAAACCATATATGTTTCCTTTGCAGATTAACTTTCAAACTGAAAAGTGAACTTTTATGTACTGGCAGTGATTTATCTTCGAATTAAGTTCCACTGTTAGTTTATATTAGAATACAATGTATTCATTAGTCTTGTTTAACCTACAGTTAGCCAGGTCCCTACTATACCCTGTACACTAAACCTTTTATTCTCAACCACATTTAAAGGAAATGACATACAAGAAAATTCAAAGGGGTATACTTTAAAGCAAGGAAAGCCTGTTTGTGGTGTGAAATTAGATCCTTTGACTCAAAGGTAAAGTTTTGAAGAATAAACACTTAAATCCTCTTCCTTAATTGTATATTTTTAATATAATAATCAGTGATACTTTACAAAGGTGTACATTGTGAATTATGTAATATTTTCTGTTAATATTTACTGTCTTATTTGGGAAAAGAAAACTTGTGTTTTAGCATACCAAATTATTTAATTTGGAAATGGCAGCAGTGAATCAGCCTTTTCTTTATTCTGTGAATGTTTTCATTGTTACTATGAAAGATTTCAAAATTGAAAAGTACAGAGAATAATATGAGTATCTGTGTAACACCACCAGATTGAACAATGTTAACGTACCATGTTTGTTTCAAATCTTTTTGTAATTTTGAACATTGTGGGTAGAGTTAAAGCCCCCTTTGTACCCATCTCATTCTATTCATTCTCTATCTTCCCTATAGGTAACCACTATTCTGAAATCGATGTGTATTATTTCTGTACATGCTTTTTATACCTTTTCTGCATATGTATGTATCCATAAATAATATGTAGTCTTTTGTGTGTTTTGAAAGTTTATACTATTGATCTCGTAGTCTTACATGTATTCTGCAACTTTCATTTTTCACTCAACATTATTTTGGAGATTTGTTTATGTTAACAATGTAGAGCTAGTTTTTTGGAAAAAAAACAAAAACTGTACAGTATTCTGATGTATGAAATACTCCTGTTAGACATTTGGATTATTTCCAGATTTGTGTGTGTGTGCAGTGTGTAAAGTGAATATGGCAAAAATTTTTGAAGGAAAAGATAAATAATGTTAAGATTATATTTACATTATTGATGCCTATTTTCTTTAAGGCCAATGAAATTTTGGATACCCAGAAACAAATATTTCCTGTTGGAGGGATGAAACTGTCTGTTGTGCGATGCATTATTAGTAAAAGTCTTAACTGTTAAACAATTGTTTTGTGTATGCAGTATATTCTTAATCAGTTCTTGAAATATTTTTAGTTTTCAATATTCAGTTAATAGATTTTTCTCCTCTTCTTAGAAAATATTGTGTGTCTTTTCTGATGGAGAATCAAATTAAACATTTGTCCTGCTTTGAATACCTGAAGATGTTTCCTATACCATAGACATTTAAGTAAACTTAATTTCTAAGTCAGCCAGACTCTCTCTTTGCACTGAATTTTACCAGACAGCCACTTAACAGTTTTTTTGTTTGCTTGCTTATTTGTGGGGAAAGAAATTCTAATATTTTGTGGTTATTTTTTTCCTATCTACATGAATACACAATTCTCAGGAACTGTGATCTTAAATGTGATTCCCTACAAATTAGTCATGTGGATTCTTCTCAAATTGCGTACAAGATCCTTAGGCTATTGTTACTATGGGAAAGATCACATTATAGCAGAGGTTTGTGTATAAAATAGTCTCCCAACAGTAGTCCAAAAATACAGTGTTTTAAAAAAAAACTTTGATACATAGTTTTCTGTGTAATGTTACTCTGTTAGAAAATTAAAGTACTGGAGGAAAAAAATCTTTATTTTAAAAAAAATTTTTATGCTTTTGGGAAAATGTTTTCTCTAATTACATTCCAATAATATACTGTTGGGCTCTTTTTTGGTATTTTTTTTCCTAATTGAAGTACTGTTTCTAAATAACATTAAAGTTTAAGAAAATTCTTTGGCAGTGGGAATAATATGGAAAAGCTTGTACATAAGAATGATAAACCTTTGTAAATGAGTCACTTGTTTTACATTATTTTTGTTTAAATTGAGTGCACTTTTATGATAGAAACCGGAGAGCCATTTAGGGGTTATGTTAAACTTAATTTCTTTGTAATGGATACAATTTTTCATATTTTCACCATTTCTTGTTCAGTTTCACTGTTTATCAAGTTACACAAATTGGGATTCCCAAACACATTGCTATTTTTCTGTTTATTAGAATTACCATTTTTTAATGTCATTTAAGTTATTAAATAAATTAGTCTATAAAATTATTTGTTTCCAAAATTTATATTAAGTATATTGATCATTAATGGGTTTTTTAATAAACAAGTGAATGAATGAGACATTTGTAGGATACTTTACTAAAATACATTGAGTAAGTTCAGAAAGGAATATTCAACATTCTTTTTTTAACATTACAGTTCTACAATGAGCTAAGCAATGAATTGTGTGTTCAAGATAGTTCGAAATACTTGAGTTGAAAGTCAAATACTCAGTATCGGTAGATTATCATGATTTACACCACTTTCCTGCATACTGTGGGCAATACTGAAGTAGTTAATGGGAAGGAGCCAATATACACATTGGAAAGGGAAGAGAATGACTATACAGTGGGATATGAAAAAGTGCCTGATATATATGCCAAAACTTTAAAGTTACTTAGACTCAGCCCCACTAATCTTGAAAGACTCACTTGGATTTTAACTTTCTACATGTAACAATTTGTGTTACTGGGTTTAGGAAGTACAGTGAAGTTCTCATCTTTGATTTTATCAGTAAGCAAGACGTAACAGGTGAAACAATTACAGAATGATAATAAAAGCTCATATTAAAGTGTTTTAACTCAATCTTCATTGAAAGGCCATGAAAGAATTTCACAGATAAGGCAACTAAGGCACAGATTACATTTCATGACCAAGACTA